AAATTACCCTTGAAGAAAAAAAATCCCTTAAATTAGCAGGACAAGAGCTACAAGGAAGCTCAAAACCCACCAGTTAGCTTCCTTTCTTTCAGTATCTTTTTTGCTGGGACCAGGGGGCCAAGGTGTAAAGTAGAATTTCGCTAGCTACCCCATCTCCCTTTTCCTGCTAGGTACAGCTGAACAGAGTTAGGCTAAAAGGCAGATGATGGGACTCCATCACTCTATATCTGCGTTTCTTGTGCCCTGTTTAGACACCCAGGTCCCTGGATCTCGCTGCAGTCCCTAGAACGGTTTCTGCTGTCATGCAGTGCACAAACTGCTCATTCTCTCCACCACCAGCACCGAGTGCTTTAAGCGCCAGGACACAGCCTCCTGGGCAGTGGTTCTTGACCTTGATCACACGCTGAAATCACTGGGCACTAGGAAAAATCTGTACCCTGGCCCCCCTGGAGACCAAATGAGTCAGTTGCTGTGGTGGGGCTTGGGCAGTTTTCCAATGATAAATCATCTTTTTTAACTCAGAGAATAAACTCAATTCTGGTTGAATCAGAGTTTTACGAACTAAAACATCATAAATATTTATCCTGAATTACTTCATTTATATGCTGTAAAATTAGTCTTTTCATTTGTGTGAATGTGATATTACCTAAGCGAATGGGAAGTGAAGTATGTCTTGTGAAATCTAATCAATTTTAACTTGTTAAAAAACACTGTGCAATCTAAACTGCTTTTAAATCAATGAAAAGTTATAATTTAAGAATTATCAAATTTGATAGCACCAATTCAATAAAGCAATTTAGAATCATCGAGTAGCACACTCTGTGAAAGTGTGGTAATACAACGTTCCCTGGTTATGATATAATTATCTCTCTCAGTCATCTTAAAATTGTTATAACTTGAACAAAGGATTTCAAGTGAAAAACAAATGGCTGGAGAAATGGAAGAGCTGAGAATTAGAATTCAACTCAGTTACCAGCCTCCGAATTAAGAAGCCTGTAAACCTGAATGTCTCGGTTGAACCAGCATTTAGTAAACACACTATCTGAACCCCATGGATGCTGAGGCTGCTGTAAGACTGAACACGTTCTCCATAACTATTTATGTACTTATTTGTTTCCTGTTCCTTCTCTCTCTTTCTTTTTGGAGTTCAAAACCACCTAATTCTATAATTAGTAAATGTCACAAAACTAAACTTACGAATTACATTCATACCAATAAAATACCACTTTTAATCTATTTTTTTTACACTGGAGTCCCACTGCTAAGAAAATTTGAAAATCACTGGACTAGACGATTCTTAAAGTCTCTTGCAACCCTGCTGGATTCCTAAAGCCTCATGCAATTCCACAACCATGAGTATGGGAGACATGAAGTGGCACTCAAGGTTCCCAGGACAGAAGCAGTAATTCCTTTAGGCAGAATGTACAGGTAAAGTCTAGCAATTCACAGCACAAGTATTGTTGGAGCTTTGGGAGATGTGTTTAAAGACAAAGAGAATGTGCAAAAAGGAAGGTGGTAGTTGTATTAAAGTTGAGGTGCCATAAGTGTTTTCCAAACTTTCTGTGTTGGTATTTTGTTTTTATGATAAACCAGGGAGAAATCATGGTAGAACTGAAACATCAAAAGTTGCTAATATATAATACCATTTAATATGCCCTAATATAACTGGTTTCTAATTATAATTCAGCCATGTACTTTAAGGAGAAAGGGAAATTCAGAAATTTAAAATTATGATATGATTGCTGTGAAGTATAATGGAATTAAAAAAAATAACTGACTAAAAAAAATTGGAAATTGTACATCCAAAAATATGTGCTAACTTTCAAAGTAGTTTTTTTAATGATGAGTCTACCTTATTCCAAGTAGAGTATCATTGTTCCAGAATCTTCTTGAAATCTCTTTGGAAACTGCTTGCAGAGTCTGGCAATATATTCTTTTGAATATACAGTTAGATACTATACTTTCTAGATAGATTTGGTTTAAAGAAACAGCCAGAAGGGATTAAAAACTTTTTTTCCAACCCGGCTTTTAATGAAACAAAACTTTTATTTTTTCTAATCTAAGCAAATGTTTAGTAAGGATGTTCTTTCCAGAATTTGTATTTTCTGAAAAGCCTGACACAGAAGAAGGGAAAGAAATCTTTAGGGCTCATCAGATGTGAATATTAATTTAATAATTAATCCATAATGCTTCTGTGCCTTTTCTATCATGCATAACGGTTCTTACTTTAAAATGCACCTTTTCACTCCGCTCTCCCTACAAGTCTGTAAGTTTTTTCTTAAAAGGGGCTTCTGCTAACAATTTCATCAGTGGAACTGCTGGCCAAAGGGGCAAATTCTTTATAGAAAAACAGGCACATGTTCATATAGATAATAATTATGTAGTCCTTCCATTAAAAATATTTTTGCCTTTTTCTAAATACACGCTAGTCCTTGACAATTCAGTCTCTTTGGTGGTTCCTTCTCAGTTACTCCTGCTGGATCCTCTTCTCAACTAGTCTCTTAAATGTTGGGAGCTTTAAGTGTTTAGTCCTCTACATCCTCTTTCCTTAGAGCAATTTCATGGACTCTCAATGTCTTCAATTATCATCTCCACACTAACAGCTCCAGAATCCAGTTAGGGTCTAACTCTCTTCTCCACTCCACACTCAAGTATCTAAATGCCCCTGGAGAGCTCTACTTGGAAGTCCCACAGGCACCTTCAGCACAAACTCAATTCATTTTATGGCCCCTCAAACTTGTTTCTCCTACACTCTTCATCTCAGCATATGGACTCCATACCTCCTAGTCACCCAAGCTAGAAACCTGCACATCTTCCCGGACTTTTCCTCCCCCCACTTCTCTCCATCCTCACTGCCACAACTGCAGTATACCACTTCTACCCTGGACAACTGCAACACATTCCTTGCTAAGTGGTTGTTTCTTGGCCCATCCTACCCCCACTTACTCCTGAAAAATCTCTCCACTTTCCTTGGGATAAAGTCCAAACCCCTGAACATGGCTTCGCAGGCCCTTCAAGATCTGACTCTTCTCACCTCTGTACCCTGCAAACTAAGCTCCAAGCCTTCTCCAAGCCTTGTCCGAAACTGCACTTTAAGGATTCCCAAGCTTTGCTTAGTCTATTCTTTCTGACTAAACCACATTCAACCTTCTCCCGGCCACTCTCAACCTTCAACCTGGAAAGCTCCAGGCGGGGGCAGGAGTGGAGGGGGGCAGTGGGGGGGGGGGGGGAGGCTTCCACACATGTAAGTCAGGATTGGGGGTCCTGCCAAGTGCTCCTTCAGCCTATACCACAGTATTTACCTCATTGCCTTGTCTATACCTGTTTTCTAGTTTGGTTCCCCCATACTTGACTAAGAGCTTCCCTGGGCAGGACTGAGCCCAGTTTGCCTCCATAAGCCAACAGGCAGCTCATGTGGAAGGAACCAAAATGAGCATTCTTGAACAAATGAATGATAGTGTAGAATAAAATATCAGGGGTCAAACTGACACTGTCTGCAGTGAACCCCACCCGCCACAAAATATCTTAATATACTTTATCACATAAAAGCAGTTGATATATTGAAATACTTCCTTGGTATAATGAGGTAGGCCTTTCTCTGAAGACATTGGTGGTAGCCAAATGTGACTTAGTTTAAAACAATGTAACCTCTTGCCCGGAAGACTACAATAGCCGTTCACATTTGCAGTAAGCCGGCTCTCAGCTGCTGTCTTCTCCATTGAGCAGCCAGTGTTCTTTTCAAAACATAAATAAGACACTAGAACTTCCCTACCATGGCCTATAAGGTCCAGCCTGTCCCACACCCCCAATCTCATTCCCAATCACTCTCTCCTTACTCTGCTGGGCTCGCTCGCCTTCCTTCTTGGAGTTCTTGTAAGCAGCAAAGCTTATTTTAGCATCAGAGGCTTTGTACTTTTGACATTGTCTGCCTGCAAAATTCTTCCCCGCAGCTCTTGGCGTGGCTTGCTCCTCTTCGTTCAGATCGCTGCTCCAAAGACATTTCCTCAGACCTTTCCTGACTACCTATCTAAAATACCCATCACGTCCTAACCGAACTAGATCGCATGCTTCTGCTTGATTTTCTTTATATAACCTATCCCTATCTGGCAATTTTGTGAAAGCTACACGACAGCAAGTGATGGCATCTATCTTGTTCCCTGTTGTCTCCGTAACAGCTAGAACAGTGCCTGGCCAGTAAACACTTGCTAAATGAATAAATGCACTTAGTAAACATGTCCATCCCCCTTATTTTCCACTCTCTTTTCCCCTCCATTCACAGGAACCTTTGAGAGTCGATGGCCTTGCAGGAAAGCCCTTGAAACGTCACCGCCAGCGCGAAGAGAGTCCTCTCTTCCGCGCTAGGCGAGGCATGCCCAGCCTGGTAGCTAACGGGCCTCCGGGACCGAGAGACGAGCTCGCGTCTGAAAATCGCTGAGGAGGGGCGGCGGGACAAGCCGCCCCTCTCCTCGCTTCCTGGGGACTGTGGCCTCCCCAACCTTAACACTTCGGACGAGCCTCTCAGTCGGCCGCACACCACCTCCCCCGCCGCCGAGCTCAGCGGCCGCCCCCCACGTACCTGCCAGAGATCCAGCTCTAGCCACTCTACCCTCGCATCACCATTCGAGCCAACACCTGCCCCCTCCCAGCCGCCGTAGTTCACAGAAAGTACAAGGGGGTCCCTCCCCCCGCATGCGCAGAGGCCCCATTCGGCGTACAGTGTCTCTTAGCAACCGCTTCGAGTCCCTCCGCCAGGGGCGGAGCATCAGAAGCCACGGGGGGAAGCCGAGGGGGAAGTGAGTAAGGCCAATTGGAGACGAGTCCCAGCCTCAATCGGCACGCCTCCTCTAACTGTCGCGAATGCGGAGGCGGCTTTACGGCAGCCAAGGGGTGGGGGCTGCCTGGGGTAAGGAGGAGAGAAGGAAGCAACCAACCAACCAAGTCGCCCCCACACCCCCACCCCCACCCCCACCCACCCCGGACCTGGTTTACGGCTCCGGGCTCAGGCTCCAGTGCGGCCGCTGATTGGCTGCCGAAGGCTTGGTCCCATCCCAGTGACCCCAAAGTGCTGGAGGGAGGGGGCGGGGGTGGCCCAGTGCAAAGTGCATCCAGAAAACCCCCTGCCTGGAGCCCCCGTGGCAGGCACTTCGGACCCTGTATGACCCGGGACCTCGTTGCCCCGAGACCTCCCGTGTCCGCCCGTAGCTGGGAGCCTCCGGCCCGGAGCGCGGCAGCCCCCTGCTCCGAGCCCTCAGACCGGGACTGCCCCCCCCAACCCAAGTCGGGACTTCCTCCCTGCACCCCTGCCCCGAGGCTGCCCGGCGGCCAGGACCGCCGCCCCCCCGCCCCCAGTCTGCTCGGCTGTCTGGATGCTCGCCGGGCTGGGGCCGTGAGGCACCGAGGAGGATCAGGAACACCCGTGTCCGGCCCTGCCTGAGGTGTTTCTTCAATGGAGAAGTTGGTGAGTGTGGAGGAGGCTGAAAGGAGGAAGAGAAGCAGCAGCTGAGGAGACAGGTAAAGTCACTTACCTCCCCTGAGAGGAAGGGGGCTGGCTGGGAAGGAGGAGAATCGCTGCTGCTTCCTGCCTGCCCTTACCACTCTCTTCCTAGGCTCCGCGTTCCTCAGAGCCCACTCCTGCTCGCCCCTAGGGCACTGCACCGCTCACTAGTTTCTGATTTGCAGGTTTGAGCTGGCTGGAGGAGACGAGAGAGCAGGAAGGCGTCTGCCCACCCACCAGAGAAGCAGCGGAGAGCCTCTGACCAGCATCCTCTATAAAGGTAATAAGCCAGCCCTCCCCTCCCCCCATTGTTTATTCCTGGCCCCTACCTTATTAAGCAGAGCTTTATTTTCAGGGTGGTTACCTGGGAATGCAGCCCTTTCCCGGCCCCCAGTTTCCCAGCAAAAACAAAAACACTGCCCGTGCTCTAATGCTTAACATTTTAATAACTTCCCTACCCCAGAAACGTGTTTCCCCCTTTCTGTACAGTGTGTTTCCGTGTTTTGCGTTATCTTTTGGTACACTGTACCATTTACCCTGCTCTGAGACTTTGAGACCTTTTTGTAGCGCCGCCCCCAGCCCCTCTTACTCTCGTAGGAATTCCTCAATTCCTCGTTAATTGCTTGTTAATTCTGAATGACTCTGCTTTTTAATTAAACCACAATTTTCTGTTTTCCTCTTAGTCCTTCCTATCAGCTTTCCTCTATTTCCATCAGAAAATCTTTTGAGTTACCTGACAAGGGTTTGGTAGAGGACGGTACAGTAATGGCTTGAAATGTGTGAGTTTCAGAAAACGACGTAACTTTTTTCCCAGTAAAAGTGAATCTGTGTACTTTAATAGTATGAATGGTATGAAAGCAGTATTCATCCCTGAAGCACTTATGTATAATTAACTCTTCGGGCTTTTGTGTGTTTTTGTGTGACAGATGTGGATGGGCCCTAAAACTGTGATAAAAAGATAAACAGTACCTGTTACACCTGATATTTTCTAGAAGAACTTAAAAGTTTACATAGTATCTTGTTAATCATTTGACACTCAAAAATTTAAAGACAAAGGAGTATTTTTGTGTGTTTAGCATCTAGGGCTTTATTTTTGCATTCTTTATAAATAAGATTTCTCATTTCAAAACCCTTACAGAGAATTTGTTAGATTGAAATTTAAGCATGTAATTCATGTGATCGCATTTCTCCTGCTGTATTTTGTTGTTGCCTCTAAAGATGTGCCAAAGGTAAGTTTAGGACATTCTTGTAACTCCTAAAGAGGGGTATGATCAGGGAAGTTATATAAGAGTTAATTCAGATATTAGCCAAGTGAATGACTTTTCTAACATCTGATAATAGGAGTATAAAATGACTTGTTAATCTCAGAGTTATTTTAATATCTCAGATTGTTTAGGGAATTTTAGGTACAAAGAGGTACTTAAAATAGCAGAAGTTGTTAGGAAATCTTTGATTTACTTGGTTCCGCTGGACTTTCTGCCTTTCACAAAAAAAGAAATTAATATCTTTCCTGATTCTTCTAATTATCAAGATACAGCTAAAGATACTTTAAGAGGCTCTGAGGGTTTGCATCTTCTTGAGACCTGGACCTGGACACCAAAGGGAGAATGTATGCTACTAAATGGGATTTAGAATCAATATCTACCAATGACCGTTCCATGGGGAACATTTGGGGTAGCCTTTGTATGTGTTTATAAGGTCCGCTTCATTTCAGTAAAAGCTAGGCAGAAGTCTATAAACTTAAAGCAGTTTTCATTATTTCAGTATGTGAATCACCAGAGATACCTAATGATTACTTAGGACTTTTAGAAAATACTAAAATATTTGAAGTATGTTTTTAAGGTAAAAATGAATTAGGTATTTTCTATTCAGGCCTTCTCAATTAAGTATTTTTTCTGCTTTAGATTTAACTCCAGCATGTTTTCATTTCCCAGGGGTATTAGCACTGAGAAGGTAAGGGAGCGGGTCTCAGGCAAGACAAGCATGTGGGATAAAGAGAGGACACTGCTTTCCCCTGGCTTCCAGCCAGTTCATTCTCATTGCTTAAATAATATTTCATTGATCCGCTATGCTTTTAATTATTTTTCTAAGATTAGGGAATATATATAAATTGTCAACATCTATTCCTGATATTAGCGTGATCAAGAGCATTTGGTTTAGGTTATGCCAAACATTTAAAATATTTAATTTGGGTACTTATTTGCCAACATGGACAGTTAGGTAGTTTACATTTTTCACCCTGGTAGTTAACTTTGTGTTAATTCTATTGCCAGTCACATGGTTTTGAAAGGAAAAAAAATCAAAAAACACCTATTTATTTGGTAACCAAATATATATTTATAATCACAGAGGGAGAAAAACTGATTTTAATCGAAGATATTCAGTGATGTATCTTGAGAGAGTTGTGAATAATACTTACTTTCCTTATAGGTAAGTGATGCCATTCACAATTATTTACCGTTATGACATGTACAATATCTCTTTATTTTGTTCACATTTAACTGTGATAACACAGAAGTACGTGCTATCCCTGAAAAGTCTAGAGTCAGATAAAGTTAGATCGGCATATCTAATACCTGACTTTCAGCCTTTCGTTTCAGTCTCAACTGAAGGCACTCCCTAGGTAGAATAGTTGTCTCCTTTCTTGCAGACTTTCTAGACGCTGACATGAGGCTGCTAAGATAATACTCCCAGACATAGGTTAATAAGATAATATTGACAAGACCTTGTCATTTATAGTACTTGTGATTTAAGCTTTGAGTTGGGTCTGGATAAGTGAGTTATAAAATTTCCTCTATTCCCTCATCCACATTTCGTGAAAATTGTTTGTTTTTCTGCTGGAACTCATGAGAGTTATAGATAAGTTGTACATGATAATAAATGTTTTGTGTTATATGAGGCCCAGTAATTTGGAGAAAATACTAATACCCTTACTTGTTTTGGAACATAAGCACTGTGCTAACTATGTTGAGTGATACGAAAATAACACTTCTACTTTATTTTGGGTTCTAGGCTCTTGATCATACAAGTAGGGCTCATCAACATGCAGCTCAGCCCTGTTGCACACTTTGGGCCTTGCAGTGTTTCTGCATCCATCTTCCCTCTTAGGACTTGTGAGCCATTGGGGTTTTTTTTTTTTTTTCTCAGAGCCGATATCTTTGGAGTTGCTGATTTTATTTCCTTACCAGCCTTTATCTCTGTTTATTCTGCAAAGAAATGCTTATTTCTTTTTTGAGTAGCAAGCTGTTATCTTGTTTCTGGTTTGTGTGAAATCTGAAAACACAGTTCTAATTTGTATCACTTCATCAAAAAATGTGTGGACTTTTAGTGAAAATAATATGCAGAAAGCCATTAATGACTAATCATTTATGCCAAAGGAAACTGGGGACGTGTGGGCAAGTTTGGTGAAAGTTATATAATATTAGATCTTAAACATATTTTGTTTTATAGTTATTTTATTGTTCACTCTATTCTATGAATATAGACTTCATTTAATTATGTGGAGCAAGAAGTTTTGCTTTTAATTTAATGAAGTTCACTTGGCATCTATATGGAAATTAAATGGTAACATTTTAATTCCTAAAGTTACAGTTTCTAGGAGAGTTAACAGTATAAAAGCTTGGAGGTCTACATTGTTTTCTTTTGACCCCATGTACAGTAGACAAGATGAATCTGTAAAATTTAAACACACTGTTAATATTGTGCAATAAAATCTCATATAAAAATGATAGACATTGGGGAAGTGGCTCATTTTGATATATAGTTCTGAAGTCTTCCTTGTTTGTGTGTTTTTTTCTTTTTTCTGACTATGAAACCTGGAACGGAATTTCTGAAGATTGCACCCTCAGAGTTTTAGTCATTCTGAGTCATTATCAATTTTAAACAGCATAGTTTGTACATATGTTTATTTAGAAAATTGACTCCCTCATCATGTTCTTTTCTTTTATAAGCGTCTTCCATGAGCTATCAGAGTTTCACACTTGCACTCCTTCAGAGGAAATAGACTTTTTTCCATTCTCACCTCTGGACTTCCTCTGTGGTTTTTAGTAGGCACCTTTACCACTGGATACCGTATTTACTTTTTAAGTTCAATAGCCTTTTTTTCCTTTATTTTTATATATGTGGATAGCTGTACTCTATTAAGTACAGATTCTCGTAAAATAACACCAAGATAAAATTAATTACTTGTCTGATGCTTTGGACTATTAAGGATGTTTTGGTAGTAAATCATTGTCCTTCATAATTTAAGGGATATGGCTGACAGGGATCATGTATGTGTAGTATGTCTGTCTGTTTTTTCTTGTAAAGATGGATGCATGCAAAGAGTGCTTTTTTGGTTTAAACCTATGGTTATTATTTATAGTGCTTAGTATTGTCAGACAGGAGAAAAATGATCTTAACATTTCTAGGATTATTCGATTTATTTAAAGTATGCAGGACTCAAAGTTCCACCCAGAGGTAATCCCAGTGGTCAAGGCCTAGCAGTGCTCCATGCACGTGTCCAGCACTCAGTAGATTTTCCTTCATCTGATGGAAGTAGCCTGTGTGGGATTATCACAAGTTACTATTGTTTATGCATCTTTCTTGTTGAGAGAAGTAATTTAGTCACTTCATCTTTTAACACAAAGCCTTTTCTTGACCTTATTAAATTAATACCATTTCACATTCTCCTCGACCCTCACCTTGTGTGTCCTCTTCCCCACTGCCCTCACTACCTCCGTGGAAGTGGTGATGGGTCGATGGAAGGACCAACAATCAGAACAGGGATTCTTCAAGCTTGAAACCACGGGGGGAGTCCTGTGAGGCAGGGGGTGCTGAGGACACGCTTCCAAGTAAGACGTCCAGTGATGCTCATTCTTGAAATGTGGCCGAAGTTCGTGTGGAAAGTAATCACGTGTTTATTTGTGGAAATGCTGGAGGCTCATCATTGGAGACATCCGTTTGCATTTTTTAAATAAATTTTTTATTTTAGTGTAGTTTTAGATTTATAGAAAAATTACAAAGATCGTGCACAGTTCCCGTATACTCCTCACACGGTTTCCCCTATTAACATCTTACATTAGTAGATACATTTGTCACAATTATTGACTCAATAATGAACATTATTATTTATTAAAATCCTTGCTGTATTCAGATTTCCTTAGCTTTTACCTCATGTCCTTTTTCTGTTCCAGGATCCCATCCAGGACACCACATTCCATTTAGTCATCTTGTCTCCTTAGGCTTCTCTGAGCTGTGACAGTTTCTCAGACTTCTTGTTTCCTTGTTTTCGATGACCTTGACATTTTGAGGAGTACTGGTCAGGCATTTTGTAGAATGCCCCTCAACTGGAATTTGTCTGATATTTTTCTCATGATTAGACTGGGGTTATGGGTTTTGGGGAGAAAGATGACAGAGGTAAATTGCCGTTCTCCTCATATACCTAAAACATGACTTGGCACTGTTGATATTAACCATGCTCACCTAACTGAGGTAGTGTTTTCAGGTTTCTCACTGTGAAGTTGCTCTTTCCCTCCATTCCAGCTGTCCTCTTTGGAAGGAAGTTACCATGCATGGTCCACACTTAAGGAGGAGGAAGTTATCTTCCTCCTCCTTGAGCGGGGAGAATCTGCACAAATTATTTGGAATTCTGCACAGGAGATTTGTTTCTTCTCCCCCCTTTACTTGTTTATTCAATCAGTAATTTGTATCAGTATGGTCTTATTGGTATTTATTCTGTACCTTGGGTTAGAATCCAATAGTACTTTAATTAGTGTGTTGTTCAAATTGTTCCATCTTGGCTATTGAGAGCTCTTTTAGTTGGCTCCTGTGTCCTTTAGATATACCCCCATTATTGCGTTTTTTTCAAGCACTTTGTCCCTTTTTGGCACTGTAAGATGCTCCAGGCTCATCTTGTATATTGCCTGCCCCAGTCTTAGAATCAACCATTTCTGTAAAGATAGTTCTGCATTTTTTACAGTTTGCGTTGTAGGAGCTGTTCTGATCGTGTCTAATTCATTTATTTAGAAGTAGTAGGCAGCGTTTTAAATCAAATATTATTTCCAAGTGCATGTTGGCAAGGTCTTTGGCCTTCCTTGAAGAAGTTTGGTGAGGAAAAATAAGGTTTGAAAAGAGGAAAGAGTCAAAATGGACTGTACTCTTCTGGATGTTTCAGAGTTCTGGTTGTGCAGCCAGCAGCGCCTATGACTGCCACGTTTCACCATAGTGCGTCAGGTTGCCAGGTGGCCCGACCTTTCCTTGTTTAAACGACAGAGGGCTTGGCACACCCACCCCACTGGGACAGGGGTGACAGTTCTCCCAATGAGTAATTCCTGGAGTGATTCTGGTGTAATGTGTGGAAGTCACTTTGTGTGTGTTCTTAGCATTAGTGTAATTCACAGACCTAGGATTTAATCAACATGGAGAAAGATCCCTTTTATTTTAGTTGTAGAGAGAAATTTTTCAGAATTCATATGGGGAAGCTGGAAAGACTGTTATTAATCTTTTACTCAGTTTGGTGTATGCATAAAGGAATAACAATTTTAAATTGATTAAAGTGATACCTTATGGGCATATAAAAAACCAGCATTTAAAGACATAATCTCCTTTTAGTTGTCAGTGATTTCATTTTGGCCCTAGCCACCTAGTGTATTGAATGCACACATATTTTCATTTTAGTCTTATTTAGAAAGAGCAAGTGACTAACGATGTCAGTTAAAAAGCAATTCAAATGAAGCAAGTCTGAAAATACATTCTGAGTAGAGCAAAAAGAAGAATCTGTTCTCATCCAAATTCCAAATGTGTGGTTTATTATTTTCTTTCCTCTTCATCAAAAAACTGCTTTTTAGGAAAAAAAGTTCCTGAAAATTAATCATATTCTATACCACCTTGGAGATTAATGTAGGTTTTGAGATTGTTTTCTCTAAGAATTGGTCTGAGTTCTTTTTCTGTTCTGTAAGTTTGTTGCAATGTGCTGATATTTAACCTCATCAAATGGTAGACTATGCAGGCAGCCATGATTCTTTATTATTTTTAGGAATTTTCCCATGATTGTTATCTTATTTGTTTTTAGGTTAAGAGAGCTTATTTGTGCTGCAATCTGGACATACTCTGAGCCCCCTCCCCACAATGCTGTATGTGCACAATGATTATTAGGCAATCCATCTATCAGGAGAAGGGACATTCTTCTGTAAGGTAAGTGACTGAGGGTCATTGGTCATCTCTTGTTGTTCTAGAGGACAATCCGTTTAGCTTTTACTTTTCTCCTTCAATTCAACTAATGTATACTAAACACAGCACTAGCCAAAAGAAAATCCGGATTTGTTTTGATATTATTTGAATCTTTTTCTTGCATACTAGGCCTCATGCAAGTGTGAAGATAATCATCCCATTAAAAAAAAAATCTGTTAAAGATGATTGTTTTGAGCATATAGTAGTAGTTTCCATTAATTCCTTCTAATGGTCTTCAACATTTTCTTTTATAACACTAAAAATAAGCAAAAATCTATTCCAAAAGGATTCTTGGTTTTAAAATTTCTAGGCCAGGAGTCTTAATTTTAGTATCATTTGAAAAAGTAAATGAAGAGATTGGGGAAATCATATTTATCAAGAAAACAAATTGTCAGGAAATTTCTCATTTCCCAATTTTTCTCTGAGTAAATAGTTCTTTGTGGTAGTAGCCTGATATTTTTAAATTACATTACTTAGTAGTGATACTGATGAGTTTGTCATAACCATTTTCTATGTATAAAACAGCGTAGGATATTTGATAGACTCTTAAGCTGTGATGATTTGACCTGAGTTAGGCTTAAGTTTACCTTCGTACAATCTATAATGAGAAGTTTTGTAAGATAAATTATTATCGGTAACAAGATTATCCCAAGATGTCTAACCTACATATGAGACCAAAAGGACTTTATCACATAATTTTTTTTTATTTTTAGAAATGGAAGCCTACTAATTAAGAGATGAGTCTAATCTGTTCCTTAAAATTAGCCCAGATGGAATGGCTTCATAGAAGCTTGTTACTTTAGGTTTCCGTATGTATTTAAAAGCTTAGAAATGTACTAAAAAGGTTTTTGTACACACATGTAAGATGCAGCTTGTCACCATTTAATTTGGGCTTTTCCTGTCTACATGAAGGAGATCTCATTGTATACGGAGTTTGAGTACACACCTCTTTTGTGACCTATTAGAGAGTATGAGAATTCAGTTACTACTTTTCCTTTAAAATAATTTTTTTCATGTGGTTAATTAACAGGTGGTTTAGATTCTTATAGTTTTTAAATATTTTGTATTATCTTGCCACTTTGAATATTTATAGAGTAAAACTTCTGGAAAACTGAAATTAGAGAAGTGTAAAAGAAATGTGGCAAAAAAAAGAGGAGTAAATTGTGCATCAAACAGTAATAAAGTGGGGAGGATAGAAAGACAAACAGAAATAAAAGGAAAGTAAATATCATCTATATATTTTACTCTAATTTGCTTAACCCCACCCACTTCCTTTTCCCCCTCAACCTTCCACCCTTTGAGGCTAAAAATAGAATATTGTTGAAATACTTGAAGAAACCAACCTAAAGTTTTTTGCCTTTTTTTTAACCGCTTCTCATAATTAAAGGTCTTTAGTCTTCATATCTATGAATTGTCCACTTGATACTCCATATTTGCTCACTAATCTAAATGTTTGAATAGTTTATAACTTAAATTTCCTTCATGTGCATTTGGTAAATCTGAACTCTTAAGACAGGTACTCATCTGGCTTCTCTGTTGTCTTCCTTCTAGCTGCCCAGCATCACCTTACATTTTACCTAAAATAATGCTACTATGTTCATAGGATGTTTACTTTGAGTTTTCATAAGGCTGCAGAAGAAATTTCCTGTTTCAGCAATTCAGGGTTTTTTGCCTAGCTTGCGTTTTAAAATCTTTTATATTCTTAGGGACATTACTGAAAGTTTTGGTACTGGTATGTTTTGGTCATAATAGATACGTATTAATTAGTTGTAGTAGTATGAACTATCATTACTAAGGTTTACATGGTTTAGCAATGGAAAATTCTGTGATGTTTAATGGCCACACTGTCAGAAGCCAGCAGTTCTAAATTTCATGTATTCTGCCTGTCCTTAAAGGCTGATCCCTGTGACCTAATGAATCCTTTGTAAAAAGTGGACTCAGCTAGGATGTTACACCACCACTGTCGAAGGAACCCTGAACTCCAGGAAGAATTGCAGATTCAGGCTGCAGTGGCTGCCGGGGATGTTCACACAGTACGAAAGATGTTAGAACAAGGCTATTCTCCAAATGGCCGGGATGCTAATGGCTGGACCCTGCTACATTTCTCTGCAGCAAGAGGAAAGGAAAGATGCGTTCGAGTATTTCTAGAACATGGAGGTGAGTTTACTGGAAGCAAGCCTTTTTCCCAAGGAGAAACTTAAAATGAAATTATGTTTAGTTTAAAATATGTATGCGTGTGTATGTAATTTTTGGTGCCTCTCTTTTGTTAATACTCACCTTCTTATTCTCTCTCCTTTGTGAAGACGTCCTAATTATGCTGATCTTTGTTTAAAACCAGATTGTTTAGAAGATCTCTTTGGTGAAAGTGCTTCCCGCCCGCCCCTCACCCCGTAACTAGTTTATATACAGCCAAATTTTCCCAGGTTATTTCAGCTAAAAGCGACCCTTCTTCAGGTTGTCCAGTTGCTTTTGTTGCAAAAGCAGAAGTGGCTATGGTACCACAATTAGAGAATTGCACAAATTTCCCCTGTTGATAATTGCTCAAGCAGACAGACCTAGCACAGGTTCCTGTAAAATCATGGCCTTAATGATACCCTATCTTTTGAATTTGCCTCTTTTAAAAAAAATTTTAGATTCTTTCTTTTATGACTGTTTTAGAGCATTTACCTTTTCCAGAGTTGTTCACAGTTTCTAGGTATCCTACAAGAAGATTGGTTATCTGAGCTCTCATTTTGTATAAATGTATGCAGTTGGAAACTACATTTGACATTTTATGTTTTTGCTTCAAAAAACTGTCCATTCCCATAATTAATAATAACTAATAATTGTCCTAAACTTATTTACTTTTTTCTTCAGTTGAATTTCCATTTGCTTTATTTTCCTAAAGATGGATTATATCCCTTTTATCATTTGTACCCGTATTATCTTTGTAAATTATGGTGTGAAGCAGCTCGGTTGGGACTCAGGTGCCACGTTTGCCATTCTAGGGCCTGAATTGGTCATTAACAGTCATTGACTTTCATTTATAAAGTATACTTTGTTACAGGACTAGACAAACTTACTCTCAAACTTACTCGAAGTACAGAAAATGTTAGAAGTCCCACAGCTCTCGTGAGGGTGGCATGAATTATGTGAAGTTAGGAATATGAAGGTTATACGCAAGGACTTGTTGCAAGATGATGCTAAACCGGAGAGTGGGAGTCATCACACGTCCCAGGGACCCTCAAAGAGGAATTATGTCTCCAAAATAGTTGACTTGACAGGATCCAGCCATTTGCTGGCCTGTTCCTTCTTTGTAGCTGTCCTCCATCCCTCCCTGCCACTCTTGCTCATACCTCCTTTCACCTTAAAACTTGAAAACCTCAGTTCTGAAGTTAATGAAGGGGATATGTAAGAGAAATGCCAGGAGAAAGATCTGAAAGCACTGAAAGGTGGGTACGGGATCACAACACTTAAAATTCTGGCAGTACTTAGTAAAATTAAGACCAAGATCAGAGCTCACATTTTTTATTCCCGCTAGTCCTGTTACTTTCTGCTTCTGCTAGCTTTGCTTTTAAAAAATTAGTTTTACAAAAAAGGTTTGATTGCTCCAGTAATAGATGAATGTCTCCTTGAAACAAATAAATTTTCAAATAAATTACAAATAAAGCCATAGTCCCCTTTGGCCAACTCCCAGTCTTTATCTGCCTACCCCTGCCCAGAAGTAACCTGAGTTTAATTTAGTCCTTGTCCTTCTACATCATTTCCTAATACTGTTATGTATACTCATAGAAAATATGTTATATTGTGTTGTGTGTGGCTGTAGAACATAAGTGATATACTGACCATATTATTCTGCAACTGTTGTTTTTTGCTCAACTATATAACTTAGTATTTTTTTAATATCAGGGGTTGGCACACTTTTTCTGGAAAAGGCCAGATAGTAAATATTTTAGGCTTTGCTGGCCCTACTATCTCTGTTGTAACTACTCAACTCTGCTTTTGTAGTGTGAAAGCAGCCATAGACAATGTACAAATGAATGAGTGTGGCTGTATGCTGATAAAACTTTATTTATAAAAACCAGTGGTGGGTCACATTTGGTGTTTGGGTCACAGTTTGCTGAACCCTATTCCCTCGCCCCCCATCTGTGTGTGTGTGTGTGTATAGTCATGTGTTGTTTAACAATGGGGATACATTCTGAGAAATGCATCATTAGGTGATTTCGTCATTGTGCTACATCATAAGGTGTACTTACACAAACCTAGATGGTGTAGCCTACTACACACCTGGGCTATATGGTACCAATCTTATGGGACTGCCGTTGTATGTGTGGTCTGTTGTTACCTGAAATATCATTATGCTGCACATGACTATATATTTTTTTTTACAGCTTTTATTGAAAAAGAATTCCCGTTACAATTCACACATTCACCTTACAATTCACCCATTGAAAGTGTATAATTCACTTGCTTTTAGTATATTCATAGAGTTGGGCATCTATCACCACAACCAATTTTAGAAAGTTTTCATTACCCAAAAAAGAAACCCTGCATCTGTTCTGTATTAATACGTATAAATTTACTCTGTTCTTTTCAACTGCTGAATATAGTATTTATTAGTATGGGTATACTATCATTTGTTTAAACTGTACTTTCTTCTTTATCTTTAAGAATGGCTGAAATTTTCTCACTAGGAGATTTTATTTGTTGAGAAGGTAACACACACATATACGTGGTTAAAAACAAAATGAAAGGTGTTATGGGCTGTTCAGTGAGGGGAAGACATCTGCTCTTTAGCACCAGTCCCCTAGTCTCCTTCCCAGTGGCAATCGCTCTTCCTGGTTTCTTGTGTCCTTGCAGAGAGAGTCTGTGCATATAGGGGTGCATATTTTTCCATCTTCACCTTCTAGCTGTCTCCCCTTTTGTTAATAGGCTGTTCTACATCTTGATTTTTTCATCTAACAGTTTAGCTAAGTCATAGTTCCTTCTCACTATATGGCTGTATTTCACATTCCATTGTATGGATGTGATTGATTTAAACGTATCCCCTATTGTTTGACATTTTAATTTTTCATTTTTCTGCTTCTAGAAACAGTATTGCAGAGAATGTCCTTGACTGATCTTTTTAGATATGTGAGCTTATCTCTTGGATAATTCCTAGAAGTGCAATTGCCAAGTGAAAAGAATGTTACAGTTTTTTTGGTGGATATTGACAAATTGTCCTCCCAAGAATGTTGTGATGGCTGTGTCCTTCCTGACCAGGTAGGGCAGTGTCGTGCTTGCCTTTGCAGGAGTGCATCATCAGATGGTTTGCTCTGCACCTGCGTGATTTGCTAGCCTCTCGTTTTTTCCACAAATGACATACGAGTAAAACATAACATGGTAAGCCTGGGCTGCTTTGCTTGTCTTTTTCTTATTGACTTGTAGGAATTGTTTATATAGTCTCCTTTGTTAGTTTTATGTTGCAACAATCTTCTTCTAGTTTGTAGCTTTTTCCACATTCTTGATGTTGTGTTTGTTGTTCTTGGGCAGAAGTCTCCATTTTAATGTAGGTGAATTTTATTTTTCTTTTGCCTTATGGTTTGTGCTTTTTGTGTCTTGTACATCATTCCACAGGGTCATTACTAGCCTATATCTCCTTCTAAAAAGTTTTGTAGGGTCCAGCCCAGTGGCGCAGCAGTTAAGTTCGCACGTTCCGCTTCGGTGGCCCAGGGTTCGCCAGTTTGGATCCCGGGTGCCGACCTGTGCACCGCTTTGTCAAGCCACGCTGTGGCAGGCGTCCCAAGTATAAAATAGAGGAAGATGGTCACAGATGTTAGCTCAGGGCCAACCTTTCTCAGCAATAAGAGGAGGATTGGCAGCAGATGTTAGCTCAGGGCCAATCTTCCTCAAAAAGAAAAAGTTTTGTGGCATTTAGGTCTTCACTCTATCCAGAGTTGATTTTGGTATATAATATGAGGTGCTCAGGTACAATTCCTTATTTTTTCCCCATAAAGGTAGCCTGAATTGTCTCTTATTCCTCATTGCTGCGTCCTGCCAGCTCAGATATAAAGTTTTCGTGTATGTCTGGTTCCATTAGTTCTGTTTGTTGGTGTATCCCTGTGTCAGTATAATGCTGTCATAATTACTATTGCTCTTTAATAAGTTTTGACGTCTCAGGGAGCAAATCTCCTCTTCTTGTTCTTTAAGAATGTTCTTCTTAGCCCTTTACATTTCCATATAAAATTTTGAAACAACAAAATTAAATATTTTGGAGAAGCCCTTCATTTGTTCTTGTATAGATAGCACTTTTTGCTTGCTCCTATTACCCAAGTAGAATAAGAGATTTAGGGAGTATTTTTTTCTAGCATATCATGCATCGAATTGAAAATGTTAGCAGGAGAGGGAACCTTCTCCTTCCCCCCCCCTTGGCCACATATGATGCTTAGACATGCTTTGTATTTAGTGTAGGCCTGGCTTCTGATGTCTAGACCAGTGTTCCCAGCTGCTTGCTCAGCCTCTCCAGACTCGGGGCTCACAGCACAGCACAAGCTGCTGCTCCAGCCATGCTGTTTTGCAGTAAATGGCACCACAGCCTATGACTGCTATGCCAGAAATCTAGAAACCATCTTTGACTTTCTTCCTCCTGAATAGTTGTCAGATCTTTTCACTTCTTTTCTTTGGAAGCACTGCCACACCTTTGGGCAAGGAAATGTCGTTCCTCACCAAAACTGTTACAATGGTCTCCTTCATTTCTGCTTCCAGTCTCGGCCCCTCCCAGCTAGTCTCCAAATAGTGTCATCTGTTAAAAGTGAGAATTAAAATAATTCCTTTTAAAATCCATCAGTGCTTTCCCATTTCTCTTAGCGTGGTAGTCAGTCTTTATGTGACCTGCGTGACTCTGCACTGTCTGCCTCCTTTACAACATCTTTGCAGTTGCATCTTCGAGCTGCAGCCCCTCTGTGTTCTTTCAGATTCACTGAGCTCAGAGACTTTTGCCCGGGACATGCCGGGGTCACTCTGTGCTCCCCCCACTGCTGTCGCCTTCACCTTGCTCAGGCCTACCTCTCGCCAACTCTCCCTTACCACTTTCTCGGGGAACTCTTCTCTTACCATCCAGACATGGTCAGATCCCTCCATTGTGTGATATTAGTGTTCTCTGTGTTCTTGTTGTAGCTCCTATCACAAGCATAATGAAT